GAAAGAATCACACGAGTCTCTGAGAAAATCTTTACAAACGGGTTGTGCTGTTAATGTTTTAAACACAAGCAGGTAGATTAAATCAAAAAAAGTTTTTTAAAAAGATGCTGTTGCACTTTAAACATGCAGAGAAGTCTGTCCTTCGCACTGAGAGTCTCACTTTTGCTATCCAAAGTAGCTGAAAAAGCAGTAACGGAATTGTATTCCATCGGACATTGGATTACGGTATCAAAGCACGGTTCACGTAAAAATAAACGATGATCATGGTGAATGAAAGCAGCACTGGTAAAGTTGGCAGGCTACTCATCATATAGAACATCGAGACAACAACTGTGTATATCGCAATTTATGGTAGCTCTTATGCAGTTGAAGTGATCAGTATGGGAATCAAATAGATTTAGCACATCAGTGCAGGAGAACGAGACAACTTCCATCTGGGACACTGAAAGTAAACATGAATGTGGCCGCAGATATTTAAATGTTCTTCCGAGAAAGAATTGGTTTTAGCAGGAACAACCAACAAATTGATAAAAACGGATGTCTTGTCAATACACATTTCAATGTACAACTTAAAAAGCATGAGTAAAAGTGAGGAATCACTGGAATGTCGATAAAAAATAGTCTTCAAAATGAAACTCTCAGGGGCCGGACTCCGTAAGGGTTTCTTAGCACTGACTTAGATATTTAAGCAAACCACTTTACATACATTTCCCTGAAGTATTTTATCGATTTACTGATCAATATAAACCGATGAAACCTTGATACACACCACGTTGTACCTAAGAAGAAAGTCTACATAGCACAGAATCATGATAATGAACCATGCAGCAAAATAATTCATGGAGGGAAGCAAACAAACATATTCCAATGCCAAACCAGTGTCAGGAATGTTTAGTGCTGTCGCTACGTAACAATCGCCAGGCATAAATAATCAAGGTCGTACACGAGTAGTGTAAGCAGATGTGTTAATCTTGACGATATCTCAAATCGAACTTAAACTGTACTTCAAGCTATTTGTAGTTGCCATCCAGGGATCCTGTTTGTACGAGATGTCCTAATAATAACGGACACTTCGAAGTTTAATTTCATCTCAGCAGCATTGGTTCCGTCCATCGATTCGGATGAATGACAAATATTCCTTACTGAGCTCATCCGAAATATGTAACTCATGGTTATAAAATGGTACTCGATCTCATATAACATACTGCACTGAAGAAAAACTGCCAGAGATTCATCCACTAGGTCATAGGAGGTTTTTCAGGCGTTTTTACATACTTCGGTGACATTCTTGTAGCTAGTACGTCTACAAAAACTAGGACAGTTATTCAATAAGCTACTAAAACATTGTATAGCAATTAACGTTGAGAAATGGGAATTCAGAAAGAAATCACTGCCCGTTTCCCGAACCACACATTAAATTACGATGATTTCTCGAGATAATCTGCAACTAAGGACAATTTGTTCCAAACTGCCCAACATTACTGCGTCCGTTAGCAGATGCTAGGCGAGGACCACCTCAGATCTTCCATTCGGAGGACGACAATTTAAGCCATTCGGGTAAGCTAAGCTCGTGCTAAATGAGAAGGTTATAAACGGATTTTTACCGTAGCGGTTCAAATGGTTCCAATAAGTGCAATTTGTACGCGTAT